GATACCCGATTTATTCATTCAGGAAACGTTTTGAGGTCTCATATTGACTAAAAATACTATGCAAGTAGAGAGTACTGTTCCTCATTAAAAGGACGGAGTGCTCATTGGAACTGAATTATCAAACAGCAAAAACATGCCAGTACTTGAATTTTCAAGTTACACCAGATGTACCTTTCAAAATGTGTCTATTCAGACAGCTGTGGGTGGACCTGCAGGCTGTTTGACCCAGAACAACATCTAGACTCTAGATGCTCATACTTTGATGTCTGATTTAGCCTCTAGATTCTAGAGGCTAAATCAGACATCAAAGTATGAGCATGCATTGTCAGATGCATCCAGCAAGACTTTTATTATCAGTGGTTGTTTTGCCGAGTATAGACTTGATATATTTAGAACCAGAAAGCAAGAAACTTGTAATAAACTGCTGCAACACGCAGGAGACAACTATGGACAATCGTACATGCTAAAATGTAGCATTGAAGTAGCACAAGTGCAGTAGTATCAGCCACTGACTTGTATCAGCTATACAGAAATATTCACGGAAAGTTTGATAGCATTAGCCACCATTAGCTTCTGGTCATACCAGACCAAATGATCAGTGAAATTAACATATTTGTTAGAGAAATAACGAGTTTCTTCTTTGAACGTCTCACTTAAATATTTGTGTTTTTTCAAGGGACGCAGCACAAAATGTCAAGTGAGTCATCTCAGTTCTCAGAAACCTGAGTGTGCTTGTTGTGCATGGACGAAGCACAGCACATACAGTAAATGTGTTTCTCACTCTGAAAGGCTGACGTAGTTCTGTCATGTCTGTCAAAATTGAGTTATCCATTATCTTTAAGTGTCTCTGTTCTAAGCCTCCACCCACAGGGTTTAACTAGCTACTGAGGGGATATATATATATATATATATATATATATATATATATATATAAAATAAATTGATAAGTCAAACTGATTCTGACAAAAGACACGTTTTCAGAATGGACCAAATGTTTTATCAAATGATCAAATGGGCAGGGACAGGAGCTGCTGAGGAAGAAAGAATATTGATGCCCAAATAAAAGTTTCTGGACCCAATAAAGAGAAGAACAGTGCTTTCACAAGTTTAGCTGAGACCTCAATACAAAATCTAAACCCGTAAGACAACTTCAGCATCTAAAACAGCCCAACATAAACTAAGCAAAACTGAGCTGAGGCCACTTGTGGTGAAGCAGACTAGGAGAGCCTAGAGGTGGTACCACTTACTTATCGCAGGTGCAGAACAGCAATCCTTTAGCTAAAACGTTGCAATCTGCCGCTACATCCCAGTGCTTCTACTTGCATGCAAAATATTTCACCATGGGTGCTTCCCAACTATGACACTCTGCTTCACTGAAAGAAAGGAACTAATGCAAAGAGGATAATAAAAAATTTTAAAAAGGTAGTTTGACAATACAGGCAAGATAATGATAACAAGGGAAACAATGAGCAAAACAGCAGCAGGGGAACCTAAAAGGGGAAACATACTAACAGGGTTCCAGATGCTGCATACTAAAATTATACATTTTGATGTTGTGACCGCACTCACCACCTTAAATTGGGAGGGAAGCATTTTCAACCACACTTGATCAGTTTCCTTTGAGTTCTGTAATGCTTCAAATGTGGGATGCCCTGGATCACAACATCAGCATGACCCTCTGCTAACCAGCAGACACCAGGAACCTCATCAGGCCTTCAGGAACATGATGATATCGCATAACTGCTGATTCAAAGGCTCCGCGTCTCTGTGTTCCAGATGCAACAAACAGCGGGGGCTGCAAGAGGCAGCCGACCGTTGGAATCCAGGATCCCATCTCACAATGCAGGATTGTGACTGCCCTCGGTTGCTGTTGATATTCACAGTCAATTGATCAACTTTATTGTTTTTTACATAAAACAAATTTCCATGCAGGACATCACCCACCAAATGATGGACCAAATATGGTGTCAGATCCCTGTAGCAGAGTGAGGATATAATTATGTTGATATACCCTTATCAAAAATACAGATTAAGTGTAAAAATAAAGATTAGCTATGTGACATTTTACATTCAAAGGCTGACTTTGTAATTGTGACGGGACTTTGACATAACATGTAAGGCCATAACCACATCCTGGTACTGTGGTGAACTAGCTCATAGGACCTCTCATGCAACAGGCTTCAACCTGAAAAACTATAGGTGCAAAAGAGATACACACAGCAACTCTCAAACTTGTAAACATTATAGGAAATAATCAGATAGAGTTTCAGACACTTTGAATCAAAACTTTTTGTCACCCAACACCTGCGTACACTTCGAAAAGCACCTGTTGTGAATGTCACAGTTTCAACTCTTAACTCTGTCACAAAAAACAGCCTCTGACATATTTTGCGACAGCTAAAAAAAAACACATGAGAAGTTAGCCACATTTTTAGAACCAAAAGAAAACCAACAACAAAAATAACACAGCCTTGATCAACTGCACCTGTTTGTGTGTGTGAGTGTTAGTGTGAAGGGGGACCACTTGTAAAAACTGGGCTTTGAGGTGAGTGGTATAGCACTCTGAGGGGTTATCAGACACGATACTGAGCCCTCTCAGAGGCCACGTTAAAACAAATTGTCTGTACATGTCAAATGCAAGTCAAATATCATATCATCTGGTTTTCTAACTACGCGTCACAGCACCCATTGGCTGCGGGAAACTGTGACAGATTATTATCTCTAACTGTGTTGTACAGTATTATTGTGCCTCAGGTGCTTCCATATACCTTATCATTTGGTGTTTCCTGTTACAAGTTATGACAGTTATGGAAACTGCTGCAGCTGCACAATCAGTACTTTTCTGCTATTGTGCAAATAAGTCTAAATTCATACAATGAAAGTATAAAGTAGAACATTTGCTGCGTTAAGTAGCTGGGACCTTGCTGTTGAGATGCGTTGGGTTTCTTGCTGTAAATGAGCTGATGTTGTTCTTCTTGTAACAGAGGTCTCAGTTTCTGTGTAAGTGCTATACCACTCACCTCAAAGTCCAGTTTCCATTTCTAGATGGACTTTTTACAAGTGGTCCCCCTTCACACACACACACACTCACACACACATGCACACACAAAACTACAGCTACTGCATACTCGCAACGCTGCACCTTGACACCTACCCCACAGCAGGCATAAACACACATTTCACACTTGAAGGCCTGGCCTCATCTTTGCTGCTTGGTGAAGAGTCACAGCTTGTGACCACACGGCTGCACCGCACAAGTAAACAGTCTCCTGTCTTGTACGCTGCCACAAGATGAGATTTCTTTTCCTCTGTGACATTTTATTGACTCATATAGTGTCTCTCTGACCTGAGTTTGAATGCGTCTTGTCTTGAGTTACATAGTTTGAACTCTTTGATTTACAGTGTTTACATCGGTGAAAACATGCACTCGGCTCGACTTGGCGCCGCAAATAAGTTATTGTGCTGTTTTTCATAGAGTTTATTTCTTCTTGCGTGGTTCTTGTTGTAAAAAATATATTTAATGTAAAAGACAATTCGCTGAGTTCTCCCGTATTCTGATAAAAAAAATAGTTTGTCAGTCAAGAGTTGCCTTTGAAAAAAAACAAATGGACCTATTTGATGTGGGATGTTGGCAGCTGAAGCTGTGTGAAAGTTAGAACCTCAGACTAAAAACTTAATTTGTTGTTGTGATGTTCTCTTTTACTGTAAACCAGTGGAAGTGAAAGTTAACCAGACCCAGGGATGACTCATTTCATCACCTGTTCACTATTTCAGTAATCTACATAGTTCCAGTGCTGCTGCTCATCAATCACCAAAGTCTGATGTTGCAGCTCAGAGAAAAGGTCTAAGCCGGTTGACTAAGAGTTAAAAGTTGGAGTTTCCCCAAATGAATGAATCTAGCATTACTACAAAAAAAGAGTGAACGTTTTCATGCCCAAACCATGTTTCTGATTAACACCTTGACCAACCAAACAAAGGGTCAGCGTTTTGCTGTGTCTGTGAACTCATTAAAAAATTAGCTCAAGACACATTTAGACTGGCGTTTGGGTAACAACTCATGTCCTAGGCCTGCTTTTAAACCATGTTTTACTTTTTTGTGCATTCCTAATGTATATTATTGGCTCTTATATGGTCACATTGTGTTTGTAATTCTGCTCCTGTTAAGCACTTTGTGACTAATGTCTGTGAAAAGCAATTTATAAATAAATTTGACTTACTCACTTACTGGTTTTAAATATTTAGTTCACACAAAATTCCAGACATTTCTCTCTAACTTTTCTCACTTAGTTTAATTGTCATTGCAGGGAATACTGACCTGTACCTGGTTCACCTTGTGTTTCATCTTCATTTATTCGGACTTAAAACAAACAATCTATCTCATGGCATCATGGTGGCGGTGCCACAAAACCACCGGTTTAGTAAATGATTTCAGACATGGCTACTAATCCCACTAGTTCATCGTTTTATTTATGTAGACAATAATTACAGCTATTACGATCACAATACATAGTATCATCTTATAAGACGTTCAAGTCAACCTTGGCCTTTTTTTTTTTTTACAATAAATCATCTCTTCGTAGAAAGTTATAAGAAATGTATGAAATTAAAGAAGATATTTACATTAAAAATACATGTCAGGGTACAATCCAGTTCAGATTTCTGGCCACTGAAAGACAAAACTAATCGTGACATTTGTGCATACAATGTGTCAAACTGTTCATTAGCACTGCAGGTGTTCTGGCATTGTTAGTAATTAACGAAAAGAAGAAGCAATTCGTGGACGCATCGTCTGAACTGTCTTTCACCCAGACGCACGCGAGGCCTGAAGAATATTGCTTCCCATGCATCGCTTGTGCCTCAGTGGTGCAGAGAGATTGTGGAGTTTCAGGTCGCTCGCCTGCAGGCTGACATCTTTATTTTCTGCCTCCACGCATCTCCTCATACACATCGTTGTTGGGGACGCACCGTGGTTTCTTTGCGGTGCACATCTTGGTCTGGTAACAGCAGAGATCGATGTCAACATGTTAGATGCAGGGCAATTACACAATAAGTAGGAGGATTATTATCCTGTGTATTTTTTTGCAACTTGCTCTTTACTGGGGCTGTTTTCTTGGATCATAGTTTATCTTTGCAACATGACGGGTTGTATAAAAAGGGACAGTTTTAAGTGACACAACATTGTATGACACACTTTATCAATAGTGGTTCACTTGAACTCAAGGTTTTATTTCAAGACCACAACTATACATACACATATATACATACATACATACATACATACACATACATATACACACACAGTGCATGTACACACACATATGTACAAACTGAATAATTCAGATTGAACATTTTGCTCTGACATAAGTTGCTGTCATGAGGCTACTATTATATTGTCTGGAAATGACACAATAAATCTCAGTTTCAAACTGAAATAATAAATTCAACACATAATTGTAATTATGAGTATTTTTCAGACGAGTACTTTTGAGAATAACAGGAAACACAGAAACAGCCCCCGAGATTCCATCAGGGTTTTGTGAGTCACACACACACAGAGAGACAGAGAGACTAAAACACATGGGTACCTTGAGGATGATCCATATGAGGAAGCATATGATGATGCCCAACAGGGTAGCCACACAGATCACAACCGACACCAGGATCAGATTGTTGTTGTCCGATTGGTCATCACACCTCGTATCTGTCATCAATGGAAAGTGTGTTCAGCTGAGACTCACGCTGGAGATGCTCTCCTCGTTTTTACCCCTATGTTGTTATATTGTCGATGGCATTTTCATTTATTTTGCGACTTTCCATTTTGGGTGAATTATCCTGATACAATATTGTTCTGGTAAAATTACAAAAACTCCACTCAAGATTATATAAAAAGTATAAAGTCTCTGTACCAGCCTCTACTGAATGTGAGGCTATTTTATCTTTATTGTCTTTTATGATTATTTATACTAAGTTAGGTAGTATTGGCAGTGGAGTCAAAAATAGTTTAATTTGCAATGAAGTGAACAGAAGGCATATCAAATAAGTCACTTTGAGGCACTTTGTGAAATCCCTGCCTTAACTTCTTGGACTGGATATAATCATCTGTTAATGTTTGGATTATTGTTTCCCTCTCACCTCTGAATTAGTTACACCACATGTTGCCCATCTATATATTCTATATTTCGTGAGTATGCATAAATTGAGAGGCTCACCTGTCACCACCAGGAGCACAGACCCCGAGCCTTGCACTTTTACGTTTAGAGTGCTCTCTCCGTCAAACTTATTGTACATGCACCAGTATGTCCCCGTGTCGTTAGAGGTCAGGTTCTTGATGAGAATGTCCAAGTTGGGGAATACTCCGTTCAACTGAAGTCTGCCGCTGAATTCTTCGGCAGTGCTAATTTTTTCTGATTTTCTATATTTGAACAAGACTAACTTCCTCTCACTGAGCCCCTGCTCCAGACTCAGGGAACTTTGGCCTTGTTGAGGATATCTGCACTGGATGGTGAAGGCTTCTCCAAAATCTCTCCATACCACTCCACTGCTCCCTACTTAGATAGACACACAAAAAAAAAAAAAAAAAATGCAGAATTAGTCTGTTTCATCTCACATTACATTTGAGAAAGCTTTACACACATGTTCAATTCTCGTCTCATGTAATGAGTCTTACCTGTGCCACTCAGGGCTGTGCATGAGAGACAAAGGACGGCTGTGAGCTTTAAATAGACGGCCGACATGCTGAGAGTGACTGTCACACAGCGGTTCTCTTGAGTTGTAGCTCTTCAGTAGGAAATTTGTACGTGTCTTCTCTCACAGCACCAAGTGCTATAACACATGACCTACATCAAGGTGTGTGACGTGGGCGAGAAGGTGACAACGTACTCAGACAGCATAGATACATTCTAATGTGGGATTGGCTGACTCTTTAACAAAAAAACCCATCTCTGATGTAGCACCGCTCGTACCGGAAGTGTAGATTAACTTTTGACTGTTTTAAACCCTCTATAAAGCACGAGGCACGATATCATTGCGTGGTGTGTTTTAAGAGTCTGCACGAGTGCATCTGCATTGTTAGCAGAGGAAGATCAAACACGTCTGATGACAATCACAGGTGCTTGAAATCGAATTGGATAAGATCCAGCTCTACAGTAAAAAGAAGAGCTTTTAATCAGTGTTGAGCTAGCTGTCACAATAGTTAAACTCCTGAAACAGGCTGTGTGTTGATAAACTTAACTGTAAAACATACTTTATGTTTTAAAGACGAGTATACAGTTGTTTGAAAAAGTGTTTGCCCCCTTCCTGATTTCTTATTTTTGCCCAGTCTCTTTCTTATGGTGGAGTCATGAACACTGACCTTAATTGAGACAAGTGAGGCCTGCAGTTCTTTGGATGTTGTTCTGGGGTCTTTTGTGACCTCTTGGATGAGTCGTCGCTGCGCTCTTGGGGTAATTTTGGTCGGCCGGCCGGCCACTCCTGGGAAGGTTCACCACTGTTCCATGTTTTCGCCATTTGTGGATAATGGCTCTCACTGTGGTTCGCTGGAGTCCCAAAGCTTTAGAAATGGCTTTGTAACCTTTTCCAGACTGATAGATCTCAATTACTTTGTTTCTCATTTGTTCCTGAATTTCTTTGGATCGCAGCATCTAGCTTTTGAGGATCTTTTGGTCTACCTCACTTTGTCAGGCAGGTCCTATTTAAGTGATTTCTTGATTGAGAACAGGTGTGGCAGTAATCAGGCCTGGGTGTGGCTAGAGACATTGAACTCAGCTTTCCTAAGATGTGATAAACCACAGTTAATTTATGTTTTAACAGGGGGGGGGCAATCACTTTTTCACACAGGGCCATGTAGGTTTGGATTTTTTTTTCCCCTTAATAATAAAAACCTTCATTTAAAAACTGCATTTTGTGTTTACTTGTGTTATCTTTGTCTAATATTTAAATTTGTTTGATGATCTGAAACATTTAAGTGTGACAAACATGCAAAAAAATAAGAAATCAGGAAGGGGGCAAACACTTTTTCACACAACTGTATATTCTGAGTAGATCATATGCAGACAGCTATGAATATAATGCCAGCTAATGGCATGTTTCATACAAAGGAGGAGAAACCACCTCACTGGCTCAGAATACAGTATCACAAGGAATGAAATTAAACAGTTGTATAAAAGGGTCGGTATGATTCTACGTAGACAGAGACAAAAAGAAATCACAGTCGTAATCCCAGAGTTACAAAAGCGTTATGAAATCTTAGACATTAAACATGTAATGAGTTTTACCTGGGCCACCCAGGGCTGTGCAGGACAAACAAAGGAAGGCTATGAGCTTCAACCAGACAACAGACATGCTGACAGTGACTGTATGAAAGAAATCACATGAAATATAAACCCTAAAAAGGAAGCGTTATAAATTGTTTTTGCTTACGCCTCAGGTTTCTTGACCAAAAGTCTTCCAACAACATCATGTGAAACTTGTGTGTGAGAATAAGATTATTTCTGCAATATGAGATTGGCAGCTCTAATCTGAACTGGAATAATAATATACACACATGGCATGAGTTGGTTTATCACCTTGACAAAAGACAGATTGTGCGTTTTAAAGATATGTTTTCCTCAGAGGTCGTATAACTCATACTTAAAGTGGAATTCAGGGAAGCTGAATATTAGACTGCTCTTCATTAAATCTCCCGAAAGCATCAGACACAAGGAAACATTAGCACTCAACAATGTTTTTGAGAGCTTGTCAATGCACATTCCACACTGAGAGTAGGTTCAAAGTTTAGCATTTAGTGTGGTGCAGTGGGTGGGAGGCCTTTGTTTTTCACTGTTTCTATTGCCCTCTAGTGGCAGAAGTGTTAACCATTTAGACAAAATACAGTTTGATGCTAAAACTCCTCTGGGCACCAATAAGTGCAGGCTGGTGTGTAAACAAATAATTAATGACAATATAGTAAAACTTACAGTTGTAAGAATATAAAATGTGTTTTCGTAAGAGAGATTAGAATTGTTGGAATTTTGTTGTTGGGGCTCGCAGCATTAACAATTTACATTTAACAAATCTCCTTTTCACGCTTAATTCCAAAATAAAGAATAATGAAAGAACAAAGAAAATTAAGCATTTCAAGTGCCTTTTACGATGCACTTCAAATCTCCACACATGAGCCTCTTTAAATCAAAACCTGAGATAAATTCTGAAATTCATTAAAAATCATATGATGAGCCAATCAAGTCAAAAACAAAACAAAATAGATACAGCATCTTTTCTGCATCAACATACTCAAAGAAAAATATCCTCCCATATATTCAGGAGTAAAATCATATAATGTGCCTATTGCTAACAAGGTTTTATAAGATGCTGACCAGTCTAGTTTGAAGCAGAAAGGACCTCAACAGACTCCATTAAGTTGTCCCTGTCCTGAGAGAATTGTAAACATCAACATCAATCACATCAATAAAAGGCTTTCATTGTCTTTGGAGATGAATTCAAAGACTACCCCCACCCCGCCTGCTCTTTCTACCTTCCTCTGGGACAGATTTAAAAAGGTCCCCGTCCATCTTCTCTCCTCCAGTCTCATCCGGTTAAAGAGAGACGACGTGAGCCGCAGCAGACACCGCAAGGATCCCTGTCCATTTGCCAACCAGTGCTTCCTGTTTAGGGCTTCTGGTGGGTGGAAAGTGTTATATTTTTGAGAGTGCCAGACAATCAGGGTCACAGAGAGGACATATTATTTCTTCATACAACAATAGCATTACTTTGGTTGTGGATTCATCATTTCAGTAGAGAAGTAATGCTGTCTTCCGCCTGGTGTTAGGATACCGAGCAACACATTAATAGTGTATTTCCTCATACAATTATCCTTTCTCCTCAATTGCTGAGTCAGTGCAGTGTGAGTGGATGGGATTATTGATCGCCTGATTGCTTGCCATGTCACTCAGAGATGACTCACCTCATTTCCATGCGCTCATATCCTTTTCCTCCTCAGAGATCTCCTGGGAACACACGAAGCCTCATCTGGAGGGCACATGGTATCAATACATTGAAGTTGCAAATGAGCACGGGTGCTAACACATTAATAACAGACATCGGTTAAATAACTCGGCATATGGCTGCGGGGGAGGAAGATGTTAATCCCCCGTCTCTCTAGAAAGATTAGCAGGATGATCAAGGGGGGGATAGACAACATAGTCTGTTTCTAATGTGGTTTTACTGATTAGCTGTTGACCTGGACTAAAGAGCAAACGCCAGGGTGGCATTTGTTTGCTACAGAGGGGGAAAAAAATAAGGAATTGTACACTAAAAATGTTACTCAAAATGAACAGTGGGTCTTCTACAGAAAAAAAAGCACCAGAGATCCGTTCTGACTCTGCGTCTTGAGGTGTATTAAAAGGAACAGGGCTTTCCCTTGTGGGTACAGCACTTACCTAAAAACAAGCCTTCATTGACTGCCCTCCAACATCCTGGCACGTCTCCAGAGCAGGAAGTTATTTTCTTGATCTTAAGTGACCTCTGCATGCCTTTCACAGCACACGAGGGCTTCAACACACCGCACTCTTCACGGGCTGCTCAGGGTTTGTCAGCTCAGGAGGGAGAGACAAAGGCCACAGTTACAGACATATGGAGCGTGCAGAATATAGTGGAAAGACCGCAGTGAGCACAGGATGAAGACTTGGATGCTCTGGGTCAGCAAGACCGTTCAAAATACCCGTCATTCCCAGATATTTCTCCATTATCACTGCTAAAAGATCCTCCAGCTTCACAGTGAGGGTCAACAATACAGGCATTCAGATCAAATCACAGAGTAAAGATGAGAGGACTCTGAATAATCAAACATGAATTCATCAACAATCAGAAGCTTTTCTATTTCACACCAACAAGGACTGAGAAGTGCATCTTTCCATCTCAGTTGGAAATACAGTAGTTCACTAGTTCAAGGACTCAATATACCGTATGATCAGGAGTCACTTCCTGGGGTTGAATTTCTATGATAATCACCCTCGTCTCTGCTACTCAGTCTAGCAGTTATAAGATAAACATGTCGGAGCATTCTGGCATCAGCATGGCTGTAACAGCTGAAGGAGTTATGTTGATAAATGCACTAAATATAGTTGACCATATCTCAAATGTGCCTTTATATATCAATAACGACAGAACTACTGTCTTCTCCAGATGCAATCATTTGAATTGGATAGAAAGTAACCAAAACAAATTTGATTTGTTACTCGTTTGTCAAATAGGAAATCTAATCGTCATGATTCACCATCTTTGTGTAGCTTTCGATTCAAGGAATAACTCAACGATACATTCTCAGAGAAACATTGAACTCTCTCTGAATATTTGAGAATATGAAAAAAAAGAAAATTTGTGAACTGCATCCAAATAAAACTCAGACTAAGACAAGCAATTCCAAATAAAGCCATCTTCGTGGTGTGCTGTTGAAGGTTATGTTTCAACAGTAACATTACATCTTAGATGAATCACTTCACCTTCTGAATCCGACTTCACAGCAAAATGCAACGCCGGTCTTAAATCAGACAGACTGCAGAGAGCCAAATATCCAGCGTGTGATGTCATGAAGAGACATGTGGGGGCGGCTTTGTGATTACTGTGGCAGATCTCCAGTCACAGAGCCCGTCTCTGCTCTCAACAGCCGCAGTTTCATCCAACAGTCTTCATCCAACTGTACTAAATAATATTCAGCTCTACGTGCTGAACTATTAATACAGATGAAAACTGAAAAGGAGAGATTTGACGTCTACATTTTTAGTAGCTTTACGTGCCTTCATCCACACTATTTCACGTCTAAACTGCAATAATCAAATTAGCTAAATAAAATATGCATCCTATCCTGTTGTATGACCGTTACCGAATATAAAAAAAAGACTCCAGCCACAGCAAATTCATATCAATCTTTATTGTATTTAGAAATCCACGCATCAAATCTTTTAATTATTTTTTCCTTTACCATTTACAACAAGGGAAGAATGAGGGACAAGCTAAACGTCATGCCTTTCCCAGCAGGCGCGATGCACTAGAGGATGGGCTGAAATGGAAGAGGGGCCGAGAGAGAGAGAGAGAGAGAGAGAGATACATAAAGTGCTTTTGTCAACAGTTTTCTTATTTTAATAGAAAAAAGGATCAAAACAAAAGGTCTGAGTGGAGGGAGAGGACACGGGGGCCCATGGACGTGACGGCGCTGAGTGCATGTGAAGTAGGGAAGGTGGTGACGAGTGGATGAGGAGGAAGAGAGCGGTGCGGGGGCATTTATCTTTTAAAATATAAAAAAAAAGCGTTCGAATGAAAAACAAAAAAACAAAAAACAAACAAGTGGTCTCAACCCAGGATGAGGCTGGACTTGCCACCGGGTGGGTTTCTTCGGCCGCCTGCGGCAGCGTTGGCATCTCCCGACGGGGCAGAGGGCTGTGTCGTCTCCTTCGGCTGCGCCTCTAGCTGCTCCTCCTCCACCTCCACGCTGTCAGGACACTCTGCAGGTGCAGCACAGAGACAACGAGGTTCAGCCGGTAAAACACACTGGGGCTGGAAGCCAAGTACAGTAGAGGAAACTGAAGCGTCCTCAACAGTTGCATTACGTTTTAGGGTAAAGATTGGTAAACTGGTTAACGGATGGAGAGGATGCAATGCCTCCATTTTAGACCGATTGTGTTAGAATTGTAGCATCTGTATAATTTCTATAAAAATAACATTTCATATGTTATTATTACAAATGTCAACAAGTCAGCCTCTGGTCCATTAGTGGCTGAATTACTGCAGGATTTGCAATTTCAAGAGGACGCAACAACGTAAATGTCACATATAAGGGCAACACCGATTTGAAAATCTTTTCTTTTTTCTCATAATGGACACTCAAATATTCTCGGCTTGACACCAGAGCGAGTGGTGCGGTTGCTGTGACAACTGCATTAAATAATGTTTTAGGAGCCTGGTGCCCCAGATTTCAGGACCACACGGGCAGCCTGTTCAGCGTGGATCCAGAAGCTCACACATCTGAACTCTCCAGGGTAGATGCACTCGTTTCTCAGGCGCCGACGAGACGCCTTCCACCACAAACGTGCGTCGTATTTATCAAACAGATGCACCCGGCTGGAGTTGCAGTTTGCATTATTTGTTTGCAAGGTGCGCCTTTCTCCACATGTTATTTAAGGGAGGATCATGCAAATAATAGGAGGAAACGTGTCAACAGAGGGCGATTATGTATTTTGCTGGATCTACTGATCAGTTTCGCTGGAAAGATTCTCACTCAACACAAAGAACTCTGTAGTACCAGAAATAAACATGCATTACATAAAGGCTTATAAATAACTAGAACCGGATTATTAGAAACAAAACCGTTATTAATGAAACAAACATCTGATAACTGTCACGCAAACTCAAAGTGGACGGTAAATTGTAGTTTGTGTTCAACTATCAATGAACTGTAAAGCAGACTAGCTTCAGTGTGTTGATAAGCTGACTGAAGTCCTTCATATTTCTATTATAATATATACTTCAAAAGCACACACACACCTTCCAATCACATTCAAAAACAGGGCAAAAATGTGAGCTTATATTTCTAAACCCTCCATTATGTGAGCAGTCAGCCACTCTTACTAACCTGCACCTGGAGGTTAATAAAAAGCCTTCCTCACTAAGTGAAGCCTGCCATCAAAGAACAGCTGCTCGACTACAGACCATCACGCCATCATGACGGGGACAAACCACATCAAAGAGATCATGTGATGTTGACTTAGAAAAGGAGAACACGTGTACTGTCTCTTTAAGAAGACAAGTAATGGACGCCAGACACATTTAGAGGCAGTGAAAGTGGAGTTACCTGATCTATTATAGTGGACCACGGAGCTACTCACTGAGTAATCTAAGTCATGCTCTGCTGTTTAGACAGAGAGACACTCACAGGCCTCTTCACAAACAGCTCGGCATACTCACCAGTATTCGCTGGTTCTTGGCCATTTTCAACCTACAATGAAAACACAAGACAAAGACATCAGATATCCTCACTGAACCAAAGGGACTTTATCACCTGCATGTAAAAATGTCTGTTTTATCTGAATCATGGTCTGCTCTGTGACAACACAGTCCATGAGACAGGTAGTGGATTAAAGCTCATTTGTGTCGTCGTCTTGTTATAACAGCTGGTTTAAAAGGCTCTGGGTATATTTTCAACCCGTCCGGAAGTCAGAATAAACCATCAGAACTTGTAAATGGTATCCTTTTACTTTGTTATTTTCATCTATAGTGGTTATTATCATAAAACATACAATTCAAATGATTAGGAAATAAAAGATTGTATTTTTGTTAATAACTTGGCATTAGTAGTTTTAATTATGTATTATACTCATACTTAGTGTTGGCATTAGTCATAATTATCTCTCTAATATCTATTTAATATTACTGTGAAAACATCTCCTTCAAACATCTGTATTTATTAAAGTTTCTCGACAGAATCGACATTTTACAAGATTACATTTCAACACCTCAAGTTAATTTAATAATTTACTTTTGCTCAATAATCCTTTTTCCATACGGATCAACAGCGGTCCATTGCACCACCAGGAACAGACTTCCTGTCTCACCGTCTCTTTATACCTCATTTAAACTGCTCAAATAGAACATTCTACCCATGTCAGTGAGCGAAGACGAAAAATTAAACCTCCACAGGGATTACAAATGTCAGTGGAGAACATCGATCAAACAACATCCTGGGTCAGTTTCAAATAGATGGATTAAGTCATCCATCCCCCAATGAATTTTCCACTGAACTGTTTAGAATGACACTTTAATCTAGGACCGTGTGCTTTTCAGCCCCCAAACTATAGGCTGTGCCTGTCGAGACTAAAGCGAGCGGTACCTCTCGTCTCTGGTTCCAGACCAAGGCAGCCCCGGAGTTGTGGATGGTAGTCAGCTCCGGCTCGGTGTTCTTGGGGAAGAGAAGAGGCTGCTGGCATCGCCTCAGCGGGGCGGAGGGCTCGCCGCACAGGGTTCCTGCAGCTTCTCCAGCTGTGATGGTGAGAGACAGACGGGGAGAGCAACGAACTAATTAAAGACCGATCAGAGTGTAATAGTCAAGTCCATTTTATTTATACTGCCTGATATCACAGATCTGCCTCAAATGGCTTTACAATCTGTACAGCATACAACACCCTCCATCTAGAAAAAACATGTCAAGAGGAAAACACAACATAGACGAGCTGAAAGCCTGTTTTATTGATCCCCCCTCCCCCCTTTTGGCCAATAGATTATTTTGAAGCGAGACAGGAAACACAGGAGACAAATGGCAAAACATGACTCAGGCTTCAAAGCAGCAGACTCATACCATATGGACACTAATCCAATTAGCTACAAAGCCCCCCCCCCCCCCGCAATGTTTCTAACCCATGAGGCAACCACGCTCACCAAAAAGATTCATCTCGTCAGATTTGACAAAACATCAGCTTTATATAAAAAGGGAATTTAACTGAAAAAAAAAATAAATAAAAAAAAAATAAAATAAATCACTGAGAACCAACAGAACAACATCAGCAAAGCCGATTGGGCGTCTGCAACAGAAACACAGTGGAACTCTTCCAGGCAGACAGCACCATTGCCAAACCTCACGTAACGCTGCAGCGCCTGTATTCTCCTTTAGCAGAAAGAGCATTAAAACCCGGCGCTTTGGCCCGCTGTGGGGAACTAAAGCCACATAAGGTAACAGCCCAGCTGTAGCCCAGAGGGCCGGGGAGCGGACAGAGCGTCTTTGTCATGAGGGGAACAACGGCTGCCGGAGAAGCGTGGGAGTGGCCATTGTTGTTAATGGAGTGAAGTGAATCAGCCCTGCTGAAAGCCTCGTTCGCTCAACAAGACCTCCTCCATTACCGGCTCCACATTTCTGAGTCTGGACGGTAAGTGGAAGACGATAAACCAGATTCATTGGCTGGACAGTGATGCATTATGTTATCATCACCACAACACATATCCTTCTACTTAGCCGTATAGATCTCCTGGGGCCGAGATATAAATGCATGTTGACGCTAACGTCATTGGACAAACGAGCTTGAAGGCAGAAACGACAACCATGCTGCTGCTGCTGCTGCTGGTGGTCTCGGCTTCTTCTTGGATTTCAGAGGGGTCCTCGTGTGGCCCGATGCCGAGGACACTTGAGCAAACCAACAGCTCTGGTATCTGAAAATCCTGACAAACAACCTGCCAACGGCTCCGGCTAACACGTCAGCATAAACATAACACCAGCACATTCCTACAGTTGAACTGACACAACAGTCATAACGCTCATCAGAAGATGTTTTAAGACCCTGACCAACTTTAAGAGTTCGCTTCACACACTCTCAAGACAAATCACAAAGAAATGAAATCTCCCTTGGTCCTAGTGGAAGATATTTTTAGATTAATTTACTCTGATTTTCAGATTCTAAGGCTTCTGTCATCACCCCAACATGATTATGAAATGTCATTGATCAAAGCAGAAGTTATGCACTCGTCACTCAATTCACATCACATCGTGTGAACAGTTTTTCATTGGAAATACTTTTTAAAAGGAACAATCCCTATAAAAACTGTTCCGTGATACAGATTCAGTCTTTACTGTCCTCTGAAGAGGAAATGTGCTTTCACAGTCGTGCAAAAACACTCAACAACAAGAACGTCAACACAAGTCTTCTAGTGTGCCCAGGCTGTTATGCCTGAAGGCACAAAACTCCTCCCAATGCAAGTTTCTCATGCAAAGCAGTCGTCCATATCTGCTGCCAGAGGGCACGAGGGTGAAGCAAGAGTTTGGGGGGGGGGGGGCAGGGGTCGTGTGCTATGGTTAGAGCTCTGAGAGTTGTGGCGGTGTCATCGAGAGCCGGCAGGTTGGAGGCCAAGTATTCAAGAAGATATGTTGGTGAAAATCAGGAGCTTGTTTCTATCGGTGAGGGGAAGCATGGGGGAACTAGCAGGTGGATGGTGAGGTCTATAGAGCTTCCTAGCTCTGTTAGTGTACACAATGTTGCCATATATTGTCCAACTATAACCAGACTAACAGCTATACCCAGGCTGACGCATGGATGAGTCCTGCAGGACAGTATTCATACTTAAAAAGGATCTACCCAGGCCGGTCTGTTCGTCTATACTAGGGAGTTCACAGGGAGGCCAGACAGATCGCACAATGCTTATAAAACCTGTTATGGTAATAAATCGTGCTCCATTCAGGCAGAGACAATTATCCTCATCCAGTTGTATCCGTTAAAGGGGGAAGCTATGAGAAGGCTCTCCTGAACTCGACTCAAGTGGAACAATGCGGGCAGGAAAAAGGCCGTTACTGTCAGCAGCTGCTGTCCATAAAGGTCAGAGGCTGAACTAATGATTTTAGGGTAAATTCTTCACTGTTCACACATCCAGAAATCATAATGCACCATGTAAACTGTTTCCCACAGAGTGACCAGTGTGAAGACATGTGATCACCGGCTCGTGAGGAACTTCACGGCCTCGAGCAGGAATGGAATCCTACTGCTGCGGGGACTCAACCTTCCTCTTTCTGCACGGCGACTGGAGCTGGCTCCAAATCCACATCCTCATCACGAGCAATCAGGATAACGCATACTTAAGCTGAGAATGAATTATTCATTTGGCTAAATACTGGCAGGCACATGTCAGACTATATTCATTTTTCATTCGAGCCTCAGTGGCTGCATGTTTGGCAGTGACCGTGACACTTTATACATCAGTTAAACTGCCGCTCACAGGTCCCGTATCGCCTACTGCTGCATTTGCCTTCCTCTCCTCGTGTACCCAAAAGCAAAACGTCCCTCGTGTCTGTACAAGGCCACACGTTTCACCGACTGACACGTTTTTATACTGACCTATTTCTTTCCGTTGAGGGCTGATCCTCATCCCCATCCAACAAAGCCTAGCTTCAAATTACCCTTATCCCAGTGCTCTTTCACTTGTGGGATGTTCTTTCTGACAACCTAAATGGAAAAATACGCAACACTCTAGTTTGTATCTTTTCCACGGTCACCTGAGAAAAATTAAGTCCATGTTGCTTTTCCCCTGGTGCCAAACTCAAACAACTTGTAAATCTAAACCCGATTGGTATTGTCACATGGAAAAATGAATCAAGATGGGGTTAAAGTGATATTAGATTGAGTTACTGGGTGGATTGTTCCTCCGATGAGCATGGAGGTCTTCGGGTTCTGCAAAGATGTTGGAGACCATCTTGTCCTTGCGGGGAGTCGAGTCGCCGTCTGCGCCGAAGGAAATGCTGGAAGCCCCGCCTGGCGGCCGTAGTACCCTAAGGAGCAACAAATCACGGGTCATCATATCATTTCATTGACATCGGGCTACCATCCCCCACTATTTAGGCCAAACTAAAACACAGGGCCTTCATGTCACATGCCGCTGATCAGCTGCACAGTGCAAAAAAAAAAATCAATAGTCAAATATAACATGACGCCTTAAGCTACTTGCAGCTTTCTCGCTGCTCCACCCTAACCCTTTTATAAACATACCACACACAAAAACCACACAGGCTACCAGCAAGGTCTCCGCTCTCTAAGCCCCGGCTGTCAGCCCGTCAGACAGACAATCTCTGCCCTGCAGCTGACTCCAGTCACAAATAATCAAAGAGGGTAGCGGGCTGGCCGCTGCCTCACCTCGCCGCAGATTCCTTTGCAGTGACAACACGAAGGCGTTGGTGTCGGTTCCTGGTCGCCTTGTAGTGTCATTATTTTATGAGTAAATCAAACATGACGCCCCTTCTGGGTCAACGTCACACAATAGAGGTGAAAAGTCTGATGTGTACAGCTAATATAGGTCACCTAATAAAATAGGCTGTTCTAGGACAATATAGAAATGCTGCATGCGGAACCAATGCATGGTAAACAAAGCACACTATCCACCCGACATTACTACACAAGCTCAACAAAAGGGGACGCGATAAGGAAGACCGCTTTTCCTCGCTGTGCTGAAGGACAGTCAGGGTGTGTTTGCAGAGCCCCTGCTTGACCCCTCCCTCTTTTTCCAGCAAACTCTCCTCTCCTGTAGCCACCAGCTGACACACACTGAGCAGCTGTCTGAGGGCCAGGCCGGGCAGATGCTCGAAGCAAAACTACAAAAGAAAAGCAACTGCATTGGCGTGGATTTTCTAAATTAATTCTTGTATACACACACACACACACATACTCGTGGCTGTGACAGTAATGCCTAAAGCAGACTTCACCTCCTGGCCAGCGAAGGATGAGCTCATGCTTTCCACTCGGATTGCGATTGGGGGGGGTGGGGGGGGGAGCTTTTAGCTGCCTGGCAGCAGACCCCACCCTAGAATGAAACTGCAAATAATACCAATAAAAAAAGGGCATTAATGATTAGAAGCTGGAGGTTCAGCCTCAGGGCCGGCGGAGCTAGGGCAGATCTAGCTGAGCTCAAAAAGCCCAAAGATCTGCATGTCTGATAAGAGAAGGGTGGGAGGCTTTTTGATGGCCTACTAAAGATTTTAGCTTAATTCTGCTCAAGTAGCTGCTGCACGGATCCCTCTGGTCGGCTAGCATCAGAAATGACCAGCAACTCGTAAAAAAAAAAAAAAGGGTCTGTAAAAAAAAAAAAAAAAAAGGAGCAAAAGCAAAGAGCTAAGGGAAGATTTACAGGCTTATCGAGCGCAAAGCCCCCACCCAAGGCCTCACATCATCAGAAAACAGCATGCGACTTCAAAACGCTTAATGACCGACAGACACTTGACATGCTCACGATAAGCAAAAGGCGAATAAGAATAGTTTTACTCAGAAATCGGGCTTGTATGCCCTAAAAATCACGACCCATTAAAGGCCTTTTCTCTGCATTGTTTTTCACTGCAGAGGGGCAGGAATGCATCCCGACGAGACGCATCACTTACTGGAGAGCCGCGTCTGCGTGCCTGGAGGATGAGTGGCCCTCTTAAGGTGTTTTAAAAAAAAAAAAGATTTAACCGATATTATTCGTCAGATGATGTAGTCTATTGAAACTACAAATGGAGTTTCTCCAAACCTCCATTCGCCCTAACCAACAACGAGCCATATCGAGTGATAATGACATATGCAGACACAAGTCTCGTCTACGATTCTTCCTGCAATCAATCAATCAACATTATCATCACATATCTGGACTCTCTCTCGCCTCTGAGCTTTAACGTTACACTTTTTTTTACTTATATTGAAAAATGGCTGCAAAAAAAAAAAAAACAGTTAATAGATTGGGTAGATTAGTAGCTAGCAACTCCGAACAACAGCACATTTAGAAATCACCGCAGGAGAGGAGCTGGGACTTGAAGAACAAATTAAAAAGTTTTTTTTTTTTTTTTGGTATGAACCACAGCTAGTTAAAAGCAGGGTTAACGTTAGGTAACGGCAGCTTTGACCATTTCTCCATTTCCTCCCTTCTTCTCAAACCCGCATGTCTAATTAACGCTATCCTACAACGCCCAGACAGGCTAACCTAGCTAAAAGCTACGTAGAGCATCAGTCAGCCATTAAGATTAACTTAATTAGCAAGACTATGTGACAGTTTCTCTAAATCCAGCGGGCTAACGTGAGGTAGCAGGCTTGCCTTGAAGCAGAAAAGAGGCGTTTGCTAGCTGAGAGGCTTGACCGCATCACACTTCTTTTGTTCCTCCGCGAAAGGTTTTCAGCTCTTTCCATTCTTTCTTTTTACCTGGAGCTGCTTTTAGAACCAGGCTCCATTCCTTTGTAGGTGGTTGTCGTCGTCATCTTCGTGGAGTATTTCGACGCCTTGGCGGTGACAAATAAGTCAAAGAGAAACTAGCGAAAGAAACAGTCCTCCTTCTTTCCCCGCAGAGCTGCGACGGGATGTAGACTCCACCCGACACTGAAGCGCACAGCGACGACCAGATCCCTTAGTTCTGCGGGTGCCAGCCCACGAGACCCAGCCCACCAGCGTTCGGCCAGCTCTGATTGGATAGAACGTCACAGAACTACTCTCTGATTGGACAGAACCTCAGCGATCGCCTCTCTCGATGATGGCAGGTCTCAGACAGTAGAGTCCACATCCCTGCTATCTAATCTATTAGCATTGATCATGAAATATTTCAAACTGCAATGTAAGGGTAAAGAAAAACGCAACTTTGTCCTCAAGCTATCTTGGTTCAAATATCTTGTGTTGTCCCAGTTTTACAAATGTATTTCATATATTTATATGCGTTTCTGCCCAAAAGAGGGTCCAGCAACCACATTGAAAAGCCAGACAAAATTAGTGGAAGTTTAAAAAAAGGACAATAGCTTTATTTTAACAAGCATCTTAATAGACAATACAGATGTTTATTTAAGGGGAGACACCCCAGGTGAATAAGGTAAAAATGTTTGACTGACATATATCATCATGAAACTTCCCGAGTTGATTGTTTATATTAAGGCAATACATTTCTTTTTATTACAAGTTTTCAGAAACATTATTTTAAATATGCAAATGAGGCATTACCTTAATAAATATGTGCTAATTTGCAAAAAAAAAAAAAAAAAAAAAAAAGCCAGGTTAAAAATTCATGTTTCATTTTGTTGACATGTTGACATGTCACTCTATAAATCAGAAAATACTGTCAACAGCCATAAAAAAAAATAAAATGTCACCATGTTTTTGAGGAATAAGATGTTCTACAAATCAGGCTATGAAGGATATATGAACAAACCCGTCTTTAGAAAAACTTTCAGAATATAGAACGGAATAAAAATGGAAACTTTGGTGTATGCAAGTCTGATGGAGATTTCTGGTTCACTGTATGAGAGACATGTATTGTAAAATTCCATACATTTTAAAAGACAATACAGGTAAAGAGGGCAAAACATTTTCTGACATTTCATTTTAAAATAAGCAAATGAGACTATCTATTTCTAACTTTTTAGGAGAAAGTGATGTAAAATAAACACCTAAATGTGTTTTTTGGATGGTTTTGTTTCCACTAGTCTGAAATCAGACACGTTATGGAAGCAAAATAGCCCAAATTCTCAAAATTGATTAGTGCATAAAAAACAATGTTTTTGCCCGGGGGTGTCTCTCCTTAACTGAGACGTCCCTTCAGGCTTCCCAAAACATAAAGCGTGGCTGAGTCAAACGACTAACGAAACATTCCTTCACACGTCTACCACTATATAAAAATGTATAAAATCAAGTATTTTTGTACTGAAGATAATTAAATGACAATGCAGCCCCATTCCCAAACTGGGTATACTGTTCCCTACAGAACTACAGAACATATATTGTGGACACTTACCAAGCCGAGCCCAACAACATTAGCTCAGTTGTGTTGCGTTCATTCTCCCTCCGTCACAAGTCCTATCTGTCTGCAGCCCTCGACCACAATACAGCATGAACAAACAAAACCTGGGTGTGGTTCATGTACAAACACAGAAAAGTAACACGGGTAAGAACGACAAACACTATACAGCAGTTGTGTGTAGTGCAGAGAAAATGAGAACTTCTTCTGCATGGAGACCTGTTGAAGCGGCCGCTGTCTATCACAGGCCGGGGAGGTTGATTGTGTTAAGAAGGAACAATGGTGAAGCATTTGCGGTTGATTAAATGAGGCCTCCAGTCTGTTGTTGAAACACGTCAATTGTATCTTCATCTTCCATTTCCAACTGTTAAGAGAAAGAAAAAAGAAGTTACACAAGCACTTGTCACATGACTTTGATAAGCCTGAAGTTATGTGCAATCTCTTTGCTACATTTCATACACAGTTGGTCTGCATCTTCCAAGATAAATTGGGTTTATTTGGCAAACGTTGTAAAGTGGGAGGAGATGTTGCAGTTACATGTTATGAGCCTCGGGGCTGAGATCGGGCTTTATTCAAGCTTAAATTTGTTGTTTGCATCGGCAAAATGGCCCCATTTAAACATTAAGCCAGGCTTGCACAGCATTGCAATAAAATGGCATAACATGCAAGTTGTGCGTACTCCAGCCATTAACTGCAGCAAGTACGTTTCTGTTTAAGGTGTCAAATACTATCACATAATTACTTCATTTCTATAGCGTATTTAACATCGCAGAGGGTAGAAAGGGAATATCAAAAATCCAGAGGACCAGTTCGAGCTTGAAAGGGTCTGAAATACGCATGCCTTTCTGGATAAGTGACACGTGAGGAAGTGCATGGCGCTTATCCAGTCTGTTTTGGGTATTAACTCATTGTCTCTTACCTGCGATGGTGTGTCCGTCTCATTTACTGGCTGCCCGTCAAACCTGAACCTGATTTGCCTCATTGAAAGTCCCTGGAGAGACAAACGCATACAACGATTGTTGTAAATCAAAAGACTCATTATTCCCATTCCTTGATATGAATTGTAAAACAGACGGTGCTGATCAGGTGACTTTGACCAACTCTTTAAACGTTCCGCAGCCTAATGGACAGAAGGCGGACAGCTTCCGGGTGAAGTTAACTCTCTAACAATGATGAACTTCATGATGAGTTCACCAGCAAAACAGAGATTTCACTGTGTAAAAAAAACGAGACGCCTGATAAACGCGTCTCTTTTCTGGCCGTCTAAGGAACAGACAAAGCAGAGCTTCCATTCCTCAAGAGAGTTAAACCTCATTTGACTTTCAGATACAGAATAATATCAGAGGCTGATATTGGATACTCTCTCAACTTTCTGAAATAGATACTTCAGTATGTGAAAGTTATCAAACCTCAACATTGTTTTCGTTGCCATGCGATCACTCTGTAGCTCTGACTGCATGCCATAGAGCAGAACTGGATCATAGCCAATACACTATGAACAATACCTCTTTGAGGGAACAAATGACCTGATGAATAACTCCCTAGTGAGTCTCTTCTGGCTTTTATTTAAGTCCGACCTTTTAGCAGACTGCAATGTCTTTCGATGGCTGTTGGGCAAAACTTTAATTTCTCTAACATCCTGACTCGGACTTAAAAGTCTGTCGTTAACTGAAGTATTTGTGTGAAATAAAAACCACAGTTACACACTTAACGTAACTAACTAACTAACTACCTACCGAACGCTGGCCGTTTGTGTCTTCAAACAAGACTAAACATGTGCATGCTTCAGAGAGGTTGCTTTGAGCCATCGATACAATTCAAATAATTATTTCCATATGATGTCAAAGCAGCACAACTTAGCAACATAGCTCTTCTAAGCCTCGCTCCACACCGTCCAAACATTTTGGAAAGACGACTACAAGGCTTCTCTGCTACAGTTTGCCAAAAAACATTCCACTCTGATTCCACATTTTCTTAGCGGCTGCTATGAAGATATGCAGGTATTGAGCAACCACCCACCTGTCTGTCGCAGTAGGCCTTCATGAGTTTGATGAGCGGCGTGTGTCTTTTGATCTTGAACTGCACTATCGATCCATCCTGACCCGCTACCTTCAGGTTGATGTGTTCGTTGTTTTCTGTCTTGACCGATTCCTGATCGACAAAGTCAGGGAGAGAAAAAAACAAAACAGTTAACACGGCCATGCAGGGAACCAGAGCGGATTAATCAGATTGACTGTTGGCTTAGATATGCAGATGTGATCCGCCACAAACACGGTTCATTTCTGGGTTACAGCTTCACAGATGTAAAGAACTGCATGTGTCTCTTCTTGTTCCAGAGCTGCAATCTTAAGTCATCTTTGTCACAAACCACAGTAAGTCGTTATTGTTTGTTGATTGATTTAGGGTGATTGATTGATTAGTAATAAAAGATGAAACATCAACAGTGAATGAAGAGCAACAGGTAACAGGTGTAACATGTCATTAAGGTAAGTAGAGCAGTATGAGTATATTTATACTGTGACGCTTTGACTTATAAACCTTCTACTCAGGCAGATATCTCTTTAGTACCGTTGACGACAATGTTGCAAATATCATTAAATATGCAAGATTTTTGCATTAATGTGATGAAATTATTAATCCACTTATGTGTTTTAGTAAACAGTTTTAATGGCCTGGGGCATATGAAATTGTATCATCAGCAAAACAAATGGACATTAAATTATTGATTAGGAAGAACTATGTTATTTAGGTATTATGTAAACAGCAATGGACCAAGGATGGACCCCTTCCTGATGGTAAACTGGCTTGACTGAGAACCATTATAGATGCAATATTGTCTTTATCACTTTAATGTTGCAGCTGGTAAAGGTGGAGCTCTGCTGGGAAACCTGATCCGTAATAGCATATCATAATCTATTGGTTGTATTGTATTTCATATTGATGATCTGAATCTACAAAGTAACTAATGTGTCAAACAAATGGAGTAAAAAGTATAATATTTCCCTCTGAGATGTAGTGAAGTAGAAATAGAAAGTGAACACACACACATGCTATTAACATCAAAAGTCTCTCTCTCTCTCTCACTCACTCACTAGTAAATAAACTCAGCCACTCGCGCTGGTTGGCTGTGTGATCAAGCAGAAAGCGATGTGCGCGCCTGTGAATGCGCGTTCACAAACCTTCCGGTCTATCAAAGTAGGTACAGCGAGTAGTTCAAATTTCGCTCTCAACTTTATCAATGCAAAACAGAACATGTGGACATTTTCCCATGAGTTCCTATGACACAGGTCTGGTGGAATAAAAGAGTATTTTTGACACAATGTGAAGATACTCACCTTTGGTTTTTCATCAGCCATGGTCACTCTTTTGGCGCTTCTCTACGCTGCCACACAAAGAATACGGGTGCGCGCACGTACTCGCTCCCGTTTAAAATATTCCAACCAAACGTGCGCGTCCACGCACCAGTGCGCGTCCACAGTGCCGGGCTGTGATTGGCTACACGTGATCACGAGGATGAAAGCGCGGTCTGGGCATGGGCGGGAGAGTCCCAATGCGCGTGCCAGGGGCACTCAGCACCACGTGCACGCGCACAGCTATGTTTTTTCCTTTTGTTGTCAGGAATGTGTCGGTTCAGTTAACCCACAACATGCACCTCCTCACACTGCTGACCTCTCCTCAGTCCTCAGCCAGCATCACTAGACAGTACATTACACTTACCGCACTTATTCTTCTTTCTTATTTTTAACTCTATAAATCCCAGCGGCCATCTTGTTTTTCTCTCTGATGATGAAGATGCGCTTCTTTATTAAATTATTTCATATATATAAGAATGTGTGTACTTGCATGTAAATAAAATCAAAACACTGATTCTTAATCTAGTGAAAACGTGTGTTTGTGCGTGGATAACAGAACATATCTAGACAATTCATTAATTGATGTCCTGTATGTGAACCCAGATGTATTGATCATATGTTGTTCATTTAAGTATGTATGTCTTATATACAGTCCATGGTCGGGACGAAACCACACAATGAGCCACATACAAAGCAGATGTAAAAACCACCGTACAGGCAGGAGAACGGCCAGCTCCTAGCGTGACGTCATCACCACTGCGCGGTCAGGGGCCTTCGAATGAATGAGTGAGGCGCGCGAGAGGACCTGTAGTTCATGTGGTGGAGTGTTTACAGCTGAATAGTTGTTCATTTATAATATATTGTGTCTATAATATCGGTCTCTGATGGAGGAGGTAGACGTGGAGCCGGCGGTCACAGTGAGTAGCCCGCTGTAGATGAATCCTCTCTCTTTTCTCGCACTGAATAGCATTGCTAACTAGCTTAACTCTATCGCAACAACACAACTAATCAAGCTACGTTGAATTATGATATAAACAGAGAAAGTCCCATAACGTGTGTGAGACACATTAAAGGTTAATAACATAAATATATACGTCCTAAATAAAAAGCAGGAAGAACATCGCGGATACAATGAACACTAGTTTGTTAGAAAGTATTCTAACTAAATCATTGGATGATTAAATTAGTAACTTAATTTAAGTTAAAACGTTGGAAATTTGGCTTTCTGTCACCTGTTTTGATGACAAATGTCTCTCTTCTTTAAATGCAGAATATTCCTGCAGCCAGTGACGGGAAGCATTTGGGATTTGCATGGGGTCCAGGTGACATCCTCGTGTATGAGACCCTTTACAAAGCATCAGGTATGTGTAGATGTTGATACAAGCCCCTCTCTATGTTTCCGCCCTCTGCTGCCCCTCTCCCTCGTCCCTAATGTTGCCGTCCGTGTCTTTATTTTCAGATGCTAAAGGATCATGCTGCTCCTTCATCCATGAAGTCAGGAAAGATGAGGATATATACTCCCCCATTTTACGCAAACTCTTCAATGAGTCGCATCACATCTTTGTTGGCCTGCAGACGATTAGAGAGGACCTCCCCAGCAAGAACAAGAAACCCCAGTAAGGCGACACCTCTGTTTCTGTGCATGTCACTATGTTTTCACATAAACCTTTGTTATAAAAGGCAGACGAAGCACCCGCAGAAAGGATTGGATATCATGATCTGTCTCCATCTTGCTCCTTAGATTTGTCAGCATCAGTAAAAACTACAGATCCGTGATACGAGCCTGTATGGAGGAGCTTCAGCAAGTCGCAGGTCAGAATTCTCAAATGTAATTTTAATATTTTGATCTTCACTGTGAATATTCTGAAATAATCACATTTCTCTCTTTTTCTGCAGTTTCTACAAAAGATGCAGAAATAGCGACGCAATATGGAAATCAGGTATGTACTGAGCCATTACATCCTTATGTGAGATGCAGACATAATGCACATACAGGATGCAATCTGTGTATTAGTTTAGAGTAGAGCTCGGCAGTAATTCAAGAACAACCTCTGCCTCTGTGTTGGTGTTACAGGTGTCCATTCTGTTGGCCATAGAACTGATCTGGAATCTGTGTGAAGTGCTGTTCATTGATGCTGCTCCTGGTTAGAGTTTGACTTTGTGCTTGTCGTTAATCTCCCTTCGTGTCTTTGGAATACATTTTATAATTTGACTTTGGAGATTACGAAAGCACCCAAACAAACTGTGTGTGTGTGTGTGTGCGTGTGTCTGTCTGTGTCCTCAGCGGGTTCCCTGTTACTCCACCTCCTCGACTGGGTAAGGCTACATAAGGCTGATGTGGATGAGAAGGCCAGAGAAGTGCTGCAAAGTGAGAGCCCTGCTGAGCACCACGACTACTGGGATGTGGTAGGTGCAGCACACACACACACACACACACACACGCACACCTCGCCCTAGTTTTGAGGGTGAACTCTCAGTTATCTCACGTTTTGTATCTGTGCTGTGCAGGTGGTGAGTTATGTGCTGCAGGGCAGGTTGGAAGAAGCCAGACAGATGCTGGTGAAGCAGGCCACCCTGCAGCCTGCTGCCAGGAACATGTACAAGCTGATGGACACTTTGCTCAGCAAGATGCCATTCTACAACGTAAGATCATCTTTCAGCCGTTTATCTCTCAGAGCAGTTTTAGTCTGCCGTGGCGAGATGATATCTGCATCTCATTTTCAATTCTTACTCGCCAGAAGTATGTCACACGATGGTTTGATCTCAGCTTAGTGTGTGTAGATGGCCAAACAATGTGCTGCTACTGACATTTAACATTTAATTCTTTAAATATGTATTTGGCTTATGATGTGGATAAAAAGAGACAGTTCCTGACCAGCACCCCTCCCTTGCTTCACAGATATCATACTTGCGTTATGTTCTTAAACACTGGGGGACTTTTGCATTATTCAAACTTAATTGCAGCTCATGAACCAACCAATAGAGACTTTATCTTTTCTTTTTTTTTTAAACTCTATGATGATCATTAGCCTGGTGGCACTCAGACGCTGACAGAGTTTGATGTGAAGTGGAGACACTGGCATGACGAGGTGAACCGCTGCCTGCAGGACAACTCGTTCGCCAGCAATCAACACCTGGAGATCCTCTGCAAGGTCAGAGCCCTCAGTAGAATATGTAAAATGACATCTTTAGTAGAAGCAATGAGAAGTCCTGTTTTAAGATATAAAATCTGTACATTAACACCTTTTCCGTCCTGCGTTTTGTCATGTAATGTTAGATCCTAGTGGGGGATGAAGACACGTTGCTGGATCACAAGGACCTCCTGAGCACATGGTACCACTTCCTGGTCACTAGACTGCTCTTCTGCCACCCCACGGTCAAACCCACCGAGTTACATTACTACGCACAGGTACACTATACTAACTGCTGCTGCACCACTCGGCATTCATGTTCTCTGCTACTGCGTCCCTGTTATTTACTGTCTGTCTTTGCGTGTGTGTGTGTGTGTGTGTGTCTGTGCGTGCGCTGCAGTCATGCATGACGATGTTTCTAGACTTGAGGAGCGTCCCAGAGCCCCTGGACAACATCTTGCTGGCTGCCTTTGAGTTTGACATCCATCAGGTCATCAAAGACTGCAGGTAACATGCAAAATTACATCCATCTATCTATCTATCTATCTATATATATCTCTATATATATATATATATATATATATATATATATATATATATATATATATATATACAGTACAAGCCACATTCGTGTTTAAACTTGAACTCTTTCCTAATCTCTCCACCACGTGTCTCATCAGCATTGCTCTCAACAACTGGTGGTTTGTGGCCCATTTGACGGATCTGTTGGATCATTGCAAACTCCTCCAGTCTCACAATCTGCAGTAAGGACTCTGTTCAGCTGCCTTTGTACATGCATACAGTCTTAATCTGGAGATAACAAGACTGCACACTTTATTCATCTAACATCTATGTGTGTGTGTGTGTGTGTGTGTGTGTGTGTATGTTCAGCTTTGGCTCCAACTTGAGAGAGTTTCTCCTGTTGGAATATGCTTCTGGTCTCTTCACTCATCACAGGTACATTTTATTTCAGTTACTAATCATCCTCATGGTGTAGAAATGACGTAGTGTATTAAATTACATTAGTCTCTGCCCTAGAAGGTGTCAGCACAGTTGGAACTCTACAGTCGCCTCATCTTATACGATGTTTTTGTGTGTTTGTGTGTTCAGTCTGTGGCAGTTGGCCGTGGACTACTTTGACCACTGCCCAGAGTTCGGCCGTGTCTACCTGGAGCTGCAGATTGAGCGCGTTCCTTTAGACACAGAGCGCAAAGCCCTCAAGGTGCTCCGGATCTGTGAGCAGAGGCAAATGTCCGAGCAAGGTACCGCTTACACAAACGTTAATTCTGCTGTGTGTTTATCCCAATGCGATAGGAAGTTAAACCTTTTTAATTCCTTGTCGTCCTCCAGTGCGGAGTATCTGTAAGATCATGGCTATGCGGGCGCTGAGGAACAACAGACTGGGCTCTGCTCTCTCCTGGAGCATCAGGGCCAAAGATGCTGCCTTTGCCACGCTCATTTCAGAGAGGTTAGTTCCCCGAACAACATTTCTTCTGCAAGATGTTGCATTTAAAAAAACCCTTTTGACTTATTGGAGAGAGGTGTATCTTGTTCTCGTCAACACTGCTTCCACCATGGACTCTGAAGAGCAGCCCTTCTGCAGGCATGTTGTAATCACGCTCTTATAATCTGCCTCAACCCTCAAGTTCAGATGAATCTTCTGAGATGATATTTCTTGAGTTGATCACTCTTAAAGACAACTAAAGTACAGTGAATAAGTACATGTGGTTTGTGATTTGAGGTCTAAATTGCAGCTTGCTGGTCTCTTTGTGAAAGCACTTGAGGTTGTTTTCTTTCCAAGTGATTTTAAAAGTGTGTGTGTGTGTGTGTGTGTGTGTGTGTGTGTGTGTGTGTGA